GCAGGAGGGCTCGCGATCGCATCGGACGACCTTGCGATCGACTCTGCCGCCGGCGCCGCCCGGGGAGGAGTCCTTCCCGCCGGCCGGCTGGGTGCTAGCAGCCCCGACCCTCCTCTCTCTCCCGCGTGCTCGCGGGGGGGGGGGGCGGGCATCCTTCTGCCGGCCAGCTGGTGCGCGGCCGGCGCGAGGCGGTGTCGTCCGCCCCCTGCCTCGCGAGGGAGGGCGGCGAGGACGGGCGAGGGGGGGGAGGGGGCGGGCGGGGCGGGAGAGGAGGCCGCCTTGCGTGATCCCTCGGAAAAAAACTGTAGGCGAGGCGCGTGGTGGAGCGCCACTGAGGAGGAGGACGCCGCGTGGCGCAGCCGCTGGGCGAGGGTGAGAGGGAGAGAGAGGGAGGGGGAGAGGGAGGGGAAGAGAGAGAGAGGGGGAGGGGGAGAGGGAGGGAGGGGGAGGGGGAGAGGTCGACGCTTCTCACGCGCCCCTCTGCTCGTGCTAAGGTCGGCGACGCCGTGCCGGGGTGGGACGTGGGGGAGGACGCGGCGGCGCAGCAGCGCGCCGGCATCTTCTCCCCGAGCGGCGGAAGGAGCGGCGGCGGCGGCGGCGGCGGAGGCGGCGGCAGTGGCGGCGGCGGCGGCGCGAGCAGCGACTCGGGGATCGACCTGTCGACTCTTGCGCTGGCGGCGGCGATGACGACGACGAAGGAGGTTGTGTCGCGCGTGCTGCAGGCGATGTCGCGGCACCCGCTCCTCCTCTCGACCTCGCGCGAGACGCTGCTCCGGCTGTACCGCCACATGCAGCTGCGGCACTATGGGAGAGGGACGCTCGTCGTGGCGCAGCGATCCGCCTCGGACCGGCTCTACATCGTCGAGTCGGGCGCGCGAGATCGGCCCGAGATCGGCCCGAGATCGGCCCGAGATCGGCCCGAGATTGCCCGAGGCTCCACGTTGTCGAGTCGAGCGCGAGATCGCAGAGCCGGCGGACGTGGAGCTGGCTCTGCCGGCAAATGTAGAGCCGGCAGATCTCGGCAGATCTCCTCGCGGAGACGCGCGCCGCGCGGAGCGTGACACGATTGCCGGAGCGTGACACGATTGCCGGAGCGTGACACGATTGCCGGAGCGTGACACGATTGCCCCCGCAGGCGCGTACGACGTCTTCATCGAGGAGGCGGGGCGGTCTCCGGTCCGCAGCTACGGGCCGGGGGAGACGTTTGGAGACACGGGGCTGGTGACGACGGCGCTGCTCCCCTCGTCCGTCCTCTGCCGCGAGGCGAGATGTGCCCGAGATGGGCCCGAGATGGGCCCGAGAGGTGCCCGAGAGGTGCCCGAGAGGTGCCCGAGAGGTGCCCGAGATGTGCCCGAGATGTGCCCGAGATGCGCCCGAGAGGTGCCCGAGAGGTGCCCGAGATGTGCCCGAGATGTGCCCGAGATGTGCCCGAGATGTGCCCGAGATGGGCCCGAGAGGTGCCCGAGATGTGCTCGAGATGTGCCCGAGATGTGCCCGAGATGGGCCCGAGATGTGCCCGAGATGTGCCCGAGCTCGTGCGTCCTCTGCCGCGAGGGCGAGGGCGAGGGCGCGCTAGCGACGCCGCCTGCAGGACCGCCGCCTGCAGGACCGCCGCCTGACCTCGCCCCGCCCTCCTCCAGGCGGGCTGCATCTGGCACCTCTCACGAGAAGCCTTCCGCGCCGCGACGCTGCCCCGCGCCATCAGCCGGCTCGACTCGACCTGCCGCCTCCTGCGGCGGCTCGACGAGCTCGGCCTCTCCTCCCTCTCCCTCTCCGAGGTTGCCGAGGTTGCGAGCAGCGCCGAGGAGGCGGCCTCCTCCGCCCGCCCCACCCTCGCCCGCCCCAACCTCGGCCGTGCCAATGTAGAGGGGACGGAGCAGGCTGCGCCCCTCTCCCGAGGCCAGCTCCGAGACGTGTCCGAGAGAGGGCTCGTGTAGGCACTTTATGGAGGACGTCGCCGCCTTCCTCGAGCATGTCTTCAAGCTCGCGCCGCAGTACGCCTTCCAGCAGACGGGCGTCGACGAGCTGCGCGACTTTGTCACGATGATGGTCAGATGAGCCGAGATTCGCCGAGATTTCGCGAGACGAGTCGACGATGCCCGCGATTCTGTCGCGACGCCGCAACGTCCCTCGCTTCGCCCGCGCTCTCTCCGCGACATGTCCACGACGCGTCCACGCCCCGTCGCACAGGTCACCTTCCTCGCTTCGCCTGCGTACGTGCGCAACCCGCACTTGCGCGCAAAGTTCATCCACTTCTTGC